AGGAATGGAACTATTAATATACAGGAGCAAAGATTTCATATATCATTGAAATTAAGTTGATGTTACTCTGAATTCAAACTGTATAAATTAAGATATTAATGTTAATCCCTTAGATCACTAAAAAAATAACTCAAATATATATATAGAAAAGAAAAAAATTAAAATGGACAATAGAAAGTAGCTTTTAAGCACAAAAGGCAGAAATGAAGAATTGAGGAACAAAACAGAAATAAAACAGAGAAAACAAACAGAAATGGACAATGTGAACCCTACTTTGTCAGTTATTACACTGAGTACAAATGAACTAAATTCCCCAATTAAAAGGCACAGATTGGCAGAATGGATAAAAAACCATAATCTTAATATATGCTGTCTCCAAGAAACACATTTCAGATTCAAAACTATACTAATATCAGAAAAATACTTAATTGCTTAAGAAAAAGACTGCTACTAAAAACAAAGGACATTTTTTAATGATAAAAGGGTCAGTAGATCAAGAAGGTATGAGAACTATAAACACATATGCACTTAACAGCAGAAGTCCAAAATACATGAGGCAAAAACTGACTGAACTGAAGGGAGAAACAGATAATTCAACAACAATAGCTAGAGATTTCAATACCCTATTTTCTTTAATGGATAGAACAATTAGACATAAAGTAAGCAAGGAAACAGAAATGTCCTGATGTCTGAAATTTCCCATAAAATGCTTAAAAAAAAACGGATGAAGCAAATATAGTAAAACATTAGTTGTTAAATCTCAGTAATAAGTATATGAGTATTCATGATACCAGCCTCTTTAATTTTGTGTATACTTGAAATTTTTCATAAGAATTCTTCAAACACAAAGGAAAAAATATTCACTATTCTTGTGCTTGTAACCATTTAATTTGATTATTATAGAAATATAGTATATTTAAATCTTAAAAGGCTAATTTCTTTTCATCATATCTGTTTACTCTTAAATTAATCTTAGATTGAGTTCTCCACAACATTCCATTAGGATTTTGATTTAGGATAGTGTTAAGTATATATATTAATTAAATGACCCTTTATAAAAATCAGTCTTTATAATCAGATGCATGCTATAACTCTATTTATTCAGGTTTTCTTATATGTTCCTCAGTAATGTTTTGAAGTTTCTTCACATAAGTCTCACACATATCTTCTTAAGATTATTCTTGGGTATTTTATATAATTGTTGTTATTGTCAATAGGATCTTTTTTCCCCCTCAGTGTATTATGCTTATTACTGATATTGGCAATTCCTGATTCTTAGATATGTGGCTTATATGCAGAGATTGCCCAATTTATTAAATTCTCATATTAGTTGTTTTTCAGCTGATTCCCTTACATTTTTCTAGTTATACAATCATATCATTTCTTTCACTTGTCAAATACTTATTATCTCCCATGTGCCAGGCACTCTGCAAGTTGCTACAGATACAATGATCAGGATTGCCACAAGTACGGTGCCTCATATCATGATAATTTGTTCTCTTAATTTCTAATAATTATAGTTCTTATTTCTGCTTCATTCCTAATTATGCTGTCTAGAACTTCTACAGCAGTGCTAAATAACAGCAGGGATGATGGGTATATTTGTCTTATTCTTGATTTTAATGAGAAAATCTTTAGTAAACTGCCTCAATCTTTTCTGAGTTAAGAATCTACTTTGAAAATGTGATAAAAGTTATTGGCTTTCTCTTTAGAGAAATATACATGCATATATGCATACTTATATTAAAAATACAGTGGTGTGCATTAATTATCTGCTCTCTGAAAAGGGAAACAATGGATAAGATCACGTTTTGACATAGAAATATTCATATTTTTTATGTAGAATGAGGAAAAAGTATAAATAAATTATATATATTTGACTACTTATTATATATAAAGAGGGCCTCTGAAAATCTTGAAGACCTACATGAATAAATGAGAAAAAGTCAGACATAAAATTTACAAAAGAAGAAATTCTAATGCTAATATAAACATATAGGAAATGTCTAATCAAAAAATTCAAATTAAATCGGTGAAATGCTATTGTTTGCTTGTGAATCACCAAAGGTCAAAAAAATAAAGACTGCTTGTTTTCAACCCAGTATCATTCTCCCTTTCCTGTTTACTAATAAAAAGTATAACTTTGTGGAACAACTTAGCTAATTGGTATCTAACTAAAAACCACACTTCCTGGCCTTTTTAACAGATAACATTGGCCATGACAATTTCAGCCAAGGAGTTTTTTTTTTTAAGTAGAACTTAAAACTCCTTGGGGAGGGATGCCCATCAGGCCTATTCCTTTCTCCTTTGGTTCTTCCTCTTCTGCCTAACTGCAACTCAAGACCCTTCCACTGGAGGGATAAGCACTCGCTAAGGATGCCTGAGAGGTTCCTATTACTCATAGACAAAGACTATTCTTAGCTATATGCTCAATAGCTATGAGGATTCATAAACAAATATTCTCACACACGGCCACATGGTTGGTGGGAGCATAAACCAATAAAACCTTTCTGGAAAAACAATTTGGTAATACATATCAAGAGCTTTTAAAACATTCATATTAACAAATTATATTGGTAAGAGTGTAGGGAAACAGGCAGACTCAGGTATTGCTTGTGGGAGTGTAAACAATCTTCAACATGTAATTGTTAAATGAGAAAAGTAAAGGCACCTAACAGTATACAAAGTATGCTTCCAACTGAGTTAAGGGGAAAAGAAAATATATACATGCATTTACTTGTACATGCATAAACTAGTCTAAAAGGATACATGTGACTACTCTAAAAGGATACATGTGACTATGTCTAAAAGGATACATGTGAAACTGGTAACAGCGGTTGACTCCAGGTGGAGAACTGGAAGGCTGTGGAACAGGGGTGGGAGGGAGACTTTTAACTCGACCCTTCAAGAGTTTCATGGGAATCTATCCTAAGCATATAAATAGAGACACATCTACATAGAAAAATGTTCACTCCAAATGTTATCACTAGTTGTAAAAATTTGGCAATTGGCTAAATGTTCCATATTAGAGAGGTTAGGTAAATTAGGTATATTCATGGAATAGAATATTTTGTAGCCATTAAAATACTATGTATAAATAATGGCATAGGGATATGTTTATGATATAATATTTAAAAGGCCAGATATATTTGTTTTCAACTTTTACAGTCAACTTCTAGTCAACATGGAGTATTAATTACAAGACAGTGTTAACAACCATGACAATATAAACAAAAATGTACAGCTTATAGAAGGTTGTAGGAAGAAAAAAGAATAGCAGCATTAATGTACACATCTTAGACAGTAGGTAATCAAGAGAGACTGACAAAAGCCAATGGAAGGAGAAATAGAGGTTAAGATAATAAATCAAGAAATGGTAGTATAAACCCTATCATCTTGGGTTTTGGACTCAACTACCAGAAAAATGAAAATGACAATGTTGCCTCTCAAGCATGGGATTGGAAGTAGGGAAAGCAGAGGCAGACCACTGTATTTCATCCTAAACTCCTCTATACTATTTGCTACCAGATACAGACATTATTTTGACTAAAAGGCAAAAAAATTTTAAAACAGGATATATGACTGTGCTTTCAACCCTAAAAAGAAAAATGCATAAAAAAAGACTAGAAGGAAATATAGCTGTTTCTGGGTAGCAGAATCATGGGTAATTTCTTCTTTATCCTTTCCTTGATTTACTGTATTTTCCAAATTTTCTATTACGCTAAAAGCCAGAAAGTATAGGAGAAAATAAAATCATAAAAGAGGCCTGAAGGAAGAAAAAAAGAAACATTTGCTGACTGACTCACTAAGAGAACACTTCCCAGGACTGTCCTGCCTGCCCACTCCCCCAATCCTAAGCAACTACCAGAAAGGTCAAATAAGGCTGGGTGGGGACAGAAAGCCCTTTATTTCCTAGAAAACCACAGGGATAAGATAATATCCAGTACCCTCTATGGCAATGCCAGTACCCTCTATGGCAGACTGTTGCAATAATGGCTCTCAATTTGTTCACATGTCCTTGTATGCAAAGGAAGACACTACAGCTCCCACTCCCAAGAAACAGAATCTACTTCTCCACTTTTGGAATCAAAGCTTGGCCATGTAACTTGCTTTGACTAATAGGACAATAGAAAACAACACAGCAGAGGCTTGCAAAGTGCTCGCACATTGGGCTTATCCTCTCTTGCTCCTGGATACCCTTCTCCTACCATGTGAAAAAGCTACGGTTGATCTCCTCCTAGCAGATGAAAGAGCCCATGGAGAAAGGCCCTAGCCACCCCAAATTAGGTCCCAGATACCTGAGGGAGATCTTTTTAGACCATCCAGCCCCAGGCAATCTGGTCCAGAACTAGAATAATAGTTCAACCAATGTACAGAATCATGAGAAACAATCAACTATTGTTGTAAGACACTAAATTTTGAGTGGTTTGGCTAACTGACATACCATCCACTGTAAAAACCACCCAACCAGTGAAATGAATAAAATTGTTTTATTACCCTCTAAATTTCATATTCAACTCAACAATCATTTTTCCTTCCTCAGAGGTGGACTCTTAGCCAGTACAGGTGACAATCTAAGGAGCCTTGAGCCTTGCAGAGCTCAACAGTCAGCAGAATTTCCCTGCTTTGACAACAATATTATTACCAAAGGGCTTGGATGATGGTAGCTGAATGTTCTCAGGAGCCTTTGACTGCTTGCTGAACTCTGTTCAAGGTCTTCCTCCTTTCATCTCAAGCCATATAATATCAAAAGCAACATGCTCCATTACCTCTGGCTTTGCTGATCTGAGTGCATGAACTTTGTTTCTTTTTTTTTATTTTTTTTCATTTTTTGAACTTTGTTTCTTATTGATCATTTTTGTTCCAGTACCTAACATGGTACCTGGCATACAGCAGACACTGATCAAATGAGTGTCTTCCTATTATTAAATGTCCCACCTAGCCAGTCTATCTCCTCCCCAACCCCCCCCACAGAGTTTAAGGACAGAATACCGGGTCACCTTTAGGACTCCATGGAGCATCATCTGAATTCTTCTTTTTCTTGTGTCGAGATTTCAAAGCAGGGTCATCATCATCAGACTCCAGGGAAGGGTAAACTGCAGTGAGAGGGAAAAGCAGGGTAAACTGAGATCTCATCCAGAATAGTGACAACAGAATGATACCTACCTGGGCTCCTCCCACTCCCCTACATGTGGACCCTTTACCTAATCCATACTCAACTGTAGGAATTCCTGAATATGCCACATACTCTTCATGTCTTTCTACTTTGTGCACCCTGACTGCAAATGTTCTCCCAGCATCATCTAACTTTGATATCACTCGCCTAACAACCATTTAAAGAGTAACTTCATGAATTAATGACCCTATAAAATTCAGCTTTAGATGCACTTCCTAAATAAGCTTTCCCTCTTCTTTTAATCTCTTTCAGATGCCTCCTCAACTCTCCATAGCATCCTGTGTATACCTCTATTGGAGTTGTTATATAATATTTAAGAGATGATTAGTAAATCTGCCACCTCCAATTTACTGTGAGGGCAAGCATATGTATTATCTGATTTTAAACTAAGGGAGCCAAACACAATGCAGAGTAGCTGCTCAGTAAGTGTTTGTTAAATTAATGGAAAAAGAAGTGGTTCACACATTCATGCAAAGGGAACAAAAAGACCATTTAGGCTGAACTGGGAATAAGATTACTGGAATTGAATGATGTGAATGACAACACACACATATATTGTATCCTATACAAATACATACAAACACCCAGTTTTATCATATATATACAACATCTATATGATTTAATAGGAAGAAAGTCTAGAAAGGTCCTACTGATGAGGTTAAGCTCTACTGCTACTAAACCTAAAAGAAAAGCAAAATGAGAGGGAAAATTTCTTCTTAGTGAAAATTTCCTCCTAATTTTCTCATTCCTACTAATGATCAGTTTCAAACTTCTCTAGAATTCTACTTCATCAGAGAGAGGAATCCACTCTCATAGTTCCTTCCAGATGGGCCTCTCTGTAGGAAAATGAGTCTGTTTTTCAGGCCTTCTTCCTTGAGCAAAGAAGTAAAACCTCTGCCTCCTGAGTCATAAAATTTTTAAAAAAATTTTATTAATTGTCCCTAGAAAGAAAAGACTACCGGTAATAGAGTTGTTTGACAAAGGTTCCATCCCTACTGGCCTAATGGCTGTCAATGTTGGGTTTGTCGATTATTTCAATGAGTTTGAAAAGTTTTTTCCACCTAAAGGAAAGAAGAAGTGTGGTATGGTAGAAAGACCTCGAGTTTCAGGATCAGACAATTAGTTTGAAATTTGGACTGACACACTAGTTTTGTAGCCAAGGAGAACTTCTGTAAGTCTCACTACCTTCAACCATAAAATTGAAATAATAGATGCTATCTGCCTTGCAAAGTTCTGAGGACTGAGAGATAATAGGTATAAAGTAATATACAAAAGGAAATCTACTCTAAGGTTCATGTCTTATTCAAGATGAAATAAGATGTAGATAATAATTAATTTCAGACATTTAAAAAACACAAGTTAAAATACATATATTAAAAATATGAGGGTGAGAGGAATGATGCCCCCACCAAAAATGATGGAATTAGGAGCTCCAAGGATCTGTTGTTCCTCCAGTGAAGCAACCATTAGGGTGTCAAAAACTTATATAATAAACTTTTGGGGGATTCTGTAATCCAATCAAAAACTTACAACAACAAAAGGAATGCTTAACAAAGAAAACACCTGCTAAATTAAGGCACTTATAGAAACTTTCAGGAAACCTCAGCTGACTGCTGAGGCAATGAAATGGATACTTCAGTGACCACACACAACAACACAGTATTTGCAAAAAATCATTTGTAAAGTCATTAAGTAAATAGATAACTGTAGGTCACAATAAGCAACAACAGTTAATCTCTAGGGAGAAAGGAAAGTATGATTTCCAGTTATCACACTGTAATATTAAAAATGTCCAGGTTTCAACAAAAAAATTTATAAGGCATGCAGAGAAACAGAAAAGTATGTCCCATTTACAGAAAAAAAAATTAATAAAACTTATCCATGAGTAAGCCTGGACATTAGACTTACTATACAAAGACTAAATCAATTGTCTTAAATATGACAAACAAAATAACCATGTCTCAATTTAAAAAGAGACTATCAATCAGAAAATAGAAAATATAAAAAGAAACCAAATAGAAGTTTTGGAGTTGAAAAGTACAATGGCTTGAATAAACAACTCACTAGAGGGATTCAAAAGCAGATTTTGAGTAGGCAAAGACTCAGCAAACATGAAGAAAAAATTATCTAATCTGATGAGCAGAAAGAAAGAAAAAAGAAAAATGAACAGAGGTAAAGGGACTGTTGGGACACTATCAACTTTAACCAACATATTCATATGGGAATGTCAGAAGGAGAGGAAAGCATGAAAAAGGCAGAACAACTATATGAAGATACAATGACCAAAAACTTGCCAAGTTTTATGAAATACATGAAAATATACATCTAAGAAGCTCGACAAATTCCAAGTAGGATAATCTGAGATAGTCACACTGAGATGCATTATATTTAAACTGTCAATAGACAAAGATATGGAAGAAGAAAATATAGAACTACTTTATCAAAAAAAGACAAAGAAGAAGATCTTGAAAGCAGCAAGACAGCACAATAAAACAACCAATTTCTCATCAGAAACAATGGAGGCCAGAAGACAGTGGGATGATATATTTTAAGTGCTGAAAGAAAAAACTGTCAACCAAAAGTATATCTGGAAAAACAATTCTTCCAAAATGAAGGCAAATTAAGACATCTCAAGTAAACAAAGGCTGGGGTAGTCCATTAATAAATCTGCCATTTAAGAAATGCAAAACAAAGTCCTTCAGAGTGAAATAAAAGGACATTTGAGAGTATAGAAAAACATCAATAAAAGCAACTACAGAGGTAAATATAAAAGTCAGTATTGTTGTATTTGTGATTTCTAACTCTTTTTTCTTCATTATTTAAGATTCCAATGTATAAAACAGTAACCATAAATCTATGTCAAAAGGAGCACAATGTTTAAAGATGTAATTTGTGACAAAAATAACATACATGGGTGGGAGAGCTGTATAGAAGCAGAGTCTTTGAATGCTATAGAAGCTAGATTGTATTAATTCAAACTAGATTGTTATAAAGTTAGAATGTTAGTTGTAATCCTCAGGGTAACCATTTTTGAAAACTAAAAAGCATAAAAAAGGAACTGAGTAAGTCAATTTGGTATACTACCCCAAAATATCAATTAAATATAAAAGAAAGCAGTAACTTAGGAAATGAGGAATGAAAAAATATAAAGACATATTGAAACAAATAACAAAATAGCATAGGTAAGCCCTTCCATACCAGAAATCACTTTAATTGTAAATGGTTTAAACTCACTCTTCAGGACTTCTCTGGTGGCACACTGGGTAGGAATCTGCCTGCCAATGCAGGGGACACAGGTTTGATCCCTGGTCTGGAAAGATTCCACATGCTGCAGAGTGGCTAAGATCATGCACCACAGACTGTGCACCACAACTACTGAGCCTGCAAGTCACAGCTATTGAGCCTGCATGCTGCTACTGAAGCCCACATGCCTAGAGCCCATGATCTGCAACAAAATAAGCCACCACAATGAGAAGCCCACAGACCACAACGAAGAGTAGCCCCTCACTCACTGCAACTGGAAAAAGCCCACACAAAGCAACAAAGACCCACTGCAGCCAATAAATAAATAAATAAATAAAATTATTAAAAAAAATTCACCCTCCAAAAGGCAAAGAAAGATAGAATGGATCAAAAACAGGATTCAACTGTATACTACATATGAGAGATTCACATTAGGTCCAAAGAAACAACTAGGTTGAAAGTGAAAGGATGGAAAAAGGTATCCCATGCAAACAGGAACCAAAAAGAGAGCTAGGGTAGCTATACTAATATCTGGCAAAATAGAATTTAAGTACAAAATTGTTACAGGAGATAAGGAAGGGTATTACATAGTAATAAAAAGGTCATTCAACCAAGAACATATAAAGCAAATATTGACATATTTGAAAGGAGAAACAGTTCTATAATAATAGTTGGCAACTTCAATACCTTACTTTCAATAGTGAATAAGACATCCAGATAGAAGATCAAAAAAGAAACAGAATACTTGAACAATACTATAAGCCAACTAGACCTAACCAACAAATACAGAAAACTTCACCCCCAAACAGCAAAATATACATTTTCCTCAAGTATACATGGAATATTCTCCAGGATAGACCATAATTTAGCCTACAAGTCTCAATAATTTAAAAGAATGAAATCATATAAAGTATGTTCTCCAAAAACAATAGAATAAAACTAGGAATCAGTAACAGAACTGGAAAATTTATAAACTGGTGAAAATTAAACAATATACTCAAAAAAATCAATAGATCAGAGGAAAAAATCACAAATTGATTTTTAAAAACTTTGAGAGGAAGAAAAACCAAAACACAACATACCAAAACTTACAGGATGCAGCAAAAGCAGTGCTCAGAGAGACATTTGTGTGTGTAAATGCTTACAATATTAAAAAAGAAGAAAGATATCAAATCAGTAACCTAATTTTACAACTTAAGAAACTAGAAAAAGAACAAACTAAATCTGAAGCTAACAGAAGGAAGGAAATAATAAAGATCTGAGCAGAGATGAGTGAAATAAAAAAAGAAAAACAGAATCAACAAAATAAAAACTTGGTTGCTTGAAAGATAATCAACAAAACATGCAAATATTTAGCTAGACTAACAAAGAAGAAGAAAGAGACAAAGACACTTGAAATGAGAAATGAAAGTGGGGACATTACTGCAAACTTTACAGAAATAAAAAGGATTGCAAGAGAATACTATGAACAATTGTATGCTAACAAATTAGATATACTATACAAAACGACAAATTCCTAGAAGCACACAAATCACCAAAACTGACTGAAGAAGTGGAAAATCTGAACTCACATATATTAAGTATAGAGATTGAATCAGAAATCAAAAGGCTTCCAACAAAGAAAAGTTAAGGTTATTTGATGGGCTTCACTGGTGGTTTCTCAGTTCAGTTCAGTTC